ATGGATTTATGAATGAATACATGCAGGCAGGAATGTGTTCTTTGCCTTTTTTTTCCATTATAAATTTTATAGTTTTTTCACGCTCGTTCTGGTTCTTGTTTTACTTTTGCGTCTCCCTATCTCCCTCCCTCTCTTTTTCCTTCCTCATTTTTCCCTCCTTTCCTCTCTTTTTTTCTCTCCCTCCCTCTCTCTCCTTTTTCTCGCCCTCCCTCCCTCTCTCTCTTTTCCCCTCCCTCTCCCTCTCCATTTTCCTGCCCTTTATTTCCTCTCCATCTTTCGCCTTCCCTCCTCCATCCCTCCTTCTTACACTTGCATCTTATTTCTCCTCCCTTTCCCTCTTGACTCCACCTCTTCTGAACTCTTTTCCTCCCCTTCCTCCTCCTCCTCCCCCTCCCCCTCCCCCTCCCCCTCCCCACATACCGCCTGTAACGTCAGCTGCAGTCGCGCACATCGACGTTAAAAGACAAAGAGAAAGAGGAAAAAATGGAAAGAAAAAAAATGAAAAGGAAGAAAAACCCGGATGTTTCTTCTCCCCTAAACGTGACAAATACACTCTCTCCGTCTCCCTCTCCCTCCTCCCTACCCTGCTCCTACCCACATCCTCTTCACCTTTTTTTCTTTTTTTTTCAATCGACGAAATTCAGGAACTACGCCTTACCTTTATTCCCTCTATCCCTCTCTCCCCCCATTCATCTGCCCTATCCTCCTTCCCTCTATCCCTCTCTCCCCCCATTCATCTGCCCTATCCTCCTTCCCTCTTCCTCTCCCTCTCTGTCCCTTCTCACGATTCTCTCTCCCCCTTCTCTCCCACACTTACCCTCCTCACCTCCTTTATCGCCATTCTCCCTCTCCTCTCCTCTCCAAGATCCCCCTCCCTCATCTCCTCATCCTCCTCTCCCCCCCCTTTACCCTCACGTACCCTCATCTCCTTCGCTCCCCCTCCCCCTCCCCTCCCTCGTTCAAACCCCTCTATTTTCGCGAAATATTTTGCAATGTTTACATACGGTGGTGAGGACTGTGCCAGCTAAACTGTCTCGTCAATCATGTTAATGTATAGGCGGGAGAAGTAGGGAGAGAGAGAGGGGGGGAGTGGGGAAGGGGGAGGGAGGTGGAGAGGGGAGATAGTAGGACATGGGGAAGGAGGTATGTGGGAGAAGGGGAAGGGGGGAGGAGGTGGAGAGGGGAGAGGGGAGATAATGGGAAATGGAGAGAGAGGGAGGTAGGGAGAGGGAAAGATTCCTTAAAATTGGAGAGAAAAGCCGAGAACGAAGAAAGCCAAGATACGAAGAGAGGAAAAGAGACTAGGTAACAATGATCAGGGAAAAAAAGGAAATTTGAAGAAAAATGCGGAAAAAAGGGGAAATTTGAAGAACAAGGCGGAAAAAAAGAGCAAGAAAAGGAAAGGAGAAAAGGGAGGGAAGAGAAGCTCGCGAAAGATCATCCTTCGGTCACCGTGATGGAGACTTTACGAGGATCTCCATCAAGTGCTTGAAGGCGATGTCCTCCATCATTTGCATGTCATTTGCATAACTCTCTCTGTTCGATGATGGTGGCATACTGCTCGGCCGAGGGATGTGCGCCCATTCTTATGCTGTGTGGGTTTTGTTTTCAAATTAAAGGAGTTATGAATATTTAATGAGACTTGCAGTTTGCTTACGGTTTCTGTCTCTTTAAGCACTGTTTGTATTCATAATTGTTATTTGTAGTTTTATTGTTCTTGTGATTATGTTTATTGCATTTATATTATTATTGTTATTGTTATCATTGTATATTATTGTTTTTTATGTTAATAATAGTATTATTATTGTTACTACTACTACTACTACCACTACCAATATTACGATTGGTATTTTTACTATTATTATCATCATCATCATTATTATCATGATTATTATCATTTATTTTAGTAATATGCATTTATGCACTGGCATGATAATCATAATGATAAACATTATGTTACAACAGGTAATGAACATTATAATACCGTTGATAATGACTATAGTAATGAATTAGAACATTATAATTTTATTGGTGATGGGAAAACTAATAATGAAAATAATATAATTTACTAATACTAATATAGTACTGCTTAATATGAACAATAGTATCGTTATAATTGTTGTCATTATCATCTTCCTCGTCCTCCCCCTCCCTCTCCCCCTCTCCTCCTCCTCCTCCTCCCCTTCCTCCTCCTCCTCCCCCTCCTCCTCCTCCTCCCCTTCCCCCTCCTCTTCCTCCTCCTCCTCCTCCCCCCCTCCTCCTCCTCCCCCCTCCCCTTCCCCCTCCCTTCCCCCCTCCCTCCTCCTCCTCTTCCTCCTCCTCCTCCTCCTCCTCCTCCTCCTCCTCCTCCTCCTCCTCCTCCTCCTCTCCTCCCTCCTCCTCCCCCTCCCTCCCCTCCCTCCTCCTCCTCCTCCTCCTCCTCCTCCTCCTCCTCCTCCCCCTCCCTCCTCCTTGCTCTTTCTTCACCTCAACATTTTTTCTCGAACAATCAGACGGGACGAGACGGAACTCTGCTTGTCAACAAACACAGTCACCTTAAGGTCAAAGGATTAAAAAAGAGGAAAAGAAAAAAGTTTAAAAACAACAACAATGGACATGTTGACATTTTTTTCTTCTTTGTTGTTTCTTTTTTAACCTTTCTGTTTTGAATGAAAAGAAGATGTAATTTGTTTGCGTAAGGAACATAGGCCTATCATTTTATTGGATTTATAATGATTTTAAGGAAAAAGGGAATGACAGAGGAAGCGGGACGAGTCTTTTGTTTGGGGTTCAAGAGAGAAAGAAGGAGAAGAAGAACGAGATGGAAGATAAAACGCGGGGGAGAAGAATGAGAAAGGAAAGGCAGAGGAGAACAAGGAAGAGAGAAGTAGGATGAGGTACAACGGGAAGAAAAGATGAAGAAAGGAAAGAGCAAAGATCCGCAGCGTAGGGAAAAGCATAGGCTGATGAAATACACACACACACACACACACACACACACACACACACACACACACACACACACACACACTTTCTATATATATATACACAAATATATGTGTATATATATAGAAAGATAGATAGATATAGATATATAGGGAAAAAACGAACGAAAAGGAACTGGCTACCCAACGACGCCATCCCGGGACTAATTCCGCATTTTGTGTCCCTGAGCCACCTGGATGTGGCACCAACTTCGTCCCTTTTTTTCTTTTTATAAACAAACACGTCATATTAATCGACAAAAAAGGCTCGGAAAAAAAAATAGTCAAGCTGAAGGAATGATATTATTATGGAGGTAAAAAAGCCGAAAAGACAGCCGGCCGAAGTAGAGCAAGAGAAACAAGAACAGGCGGCAGACCCCGGCAGAGGAGGAAGTGTGTCTGCGGCTGCGAGGCTCGGGATGAAAGTGGATAAATGTTTCCACTTTAGTTTCCCTCATTCGGGCCGTTTTTTGCCGCGAGGAAATTGGTGCTGCGTGGGGAAAGCACTCGCACACATGCATTTGCAGGCAGCACACGCACGTGCACACACACCTACATATAGTATACTTTCGTATCCCTATTCCTACCTAGCCGTTATTGTCTACCTACCTTTCTCCCTCCTATCTACCTACCTATTTATCTTTACCAACCTATCCATCCCTACCTACCTACTAACGTCAAACCCTACCTATCTATCTAGCGACACGCACGCAGGCACGCACAAATAGGCCTATCAATCACCTCATCTCACCTTTCCGTGATTGGCGTGACGTCATACACTTATCAGTCTCAGAAGGGGCGAAGAGAAGAGGCATAGAGTGTCGCGTGTCGTGGTTGTGTCATGTGTCAAGTCGTGACATCTAACAAGTAAGAGAGAGAGAGAGAGAGAGAGAGAGAGAGAGAGAGAGACAGAGGGCGAGGGAGGGAGGGAGGGAGGGAAGGAAGAGGAAAGAAGAATGGAGAAAGGAGAGAAGAGCAAAAGAGAACCACGAGCAAGGGAGAGAACCGAAACAAAAAACACGATCATGCACAGCACAAGAGAATCAATCTATCCGTAGCCCCCACTTCCTCTCTCCCCCCCCTCGCTCTCCTTCTCCCCCTCCCCCCTCCACTCTCCCTCACGCTAGCCCTCCCACTGCCTTCACCTCCTATCCTTCCCCACTTTTCCTCTGTCTCTCTCTCCCCCTCCCCTCCCTTCATGCTTTCCTTCCCCTTCCCCTACACTCTATTTTCCCCTCCCCCCCCCTCACCTTCTCTCTCCCCTCCTAACCCCCAACCAATATGCCCTCCCTCATACCTCCGTCTTCTCCTCCCATCCTCCTCTCCTCCCCCCTCCCCTTCTCCCTCCCCATCCTCCTCTCATTCCCTCTATTCTTCCCCCTATCCTTTCCCTTCTCTTTTTCCCTCCCCTCCCCTCTCTCCTTCCCTTCTATCCTTCTCCCTATCCTTCCCCTTCTCCTTCTCCCTCTTCTCCCCCCTATCCTCCCCCCTCCCCTTCCCCCGCTGGCTACGCATCTCGTGCAGTCCCCCCGAAGCCGCCGCGTCCGCCTCGCACAGCTGCTGAGGCGCGAGCAAGAAGAAGGGAAGTGCCTGTCTCTTGGCGCTGACTGAGAAATCGATGGCGCTGGAGGGAGGGCCGAGGAGGGGGGGGGGCAGGGAGGCTGGAAGGCTGGAAGGGAGAGGGAGGGAACTGGAAAGGGAGGCAGGGGCAAGGAAGGGGAAAGAGGAGTCTGGAAGGAGAGGAAGAGGAAGGAGGGAAGTGGAAGGGGAGGCAGGGAGAGAGAAAACCGGAAGGGGAGGCATGGAAGGGGAAGGGAGAGAGGGAAAAGGAAGGGGGTGAGAGGGGGCTTGAAAGAGAAATTCTTTTTATTATCCTATTTATCTTATCTACTAATTATCTTTATTATTACTAGTTTTCCTTATTTTAAGATTTTCTTGTTTGTCTTTTTCCTCTCGGATCAGTCTTGATCAGTTTTGTTTTCATATTTGATTTACTTTCTTTTCTGTTATTTCTGTGTTTCTTTACATTTCCCCTTT